TAGTGCGGTTAAATAAGTCGTCCTAGTATAAAATTATAGCTTACTTTATGGTACAAAAGACTGTATATGATTGACGATTAAAAACTGATATATGGGGTTAACGCAGCTTTGAGAAGTTATCTTTTTAAACAGGAGTTCAGTTATAAAAGCATGTTTCAATCTCAAATATTTGTTTGTTTATCCAAAAAAGTTGCAGTTCACTCTTGATTTATCAGAGAAAAAATACACTAGAAAATTAAGAATAAATTGATTAAATAGATCTTCCAAAAATAAAGAAAGTTAAATTTTTAAATGTGGAAATTTTAATTTTTGACGTTTTTATCCCTTATAACGTCTTTGATTTTTCTCATACAATGTTTGAAAATTTATATAACCTTTGTTATATTTAAATATTCAAAAAGCAAGGCTATGTTGCGAAAGTCTTCTGTTTTTTTGTTAACGAGGTTTACCTTAGCAACAGAAAGTGAATCGAAATCGTGTAGAAAATTGTGTGTGGAATTTTTTATGTTTAGCTTAAGAGTTAAATAAGTATATTTTTACGGTTCGGTTATTTTCAATTCCCTTTTTGGAATTATGAGTGCAAAATATAAAAAGCATGATTTTTGGTTAGTTGGAAGTCCTTTACAAAATTTAATAGGTAATAATGACAGCTTACCTTTAGCGAGAGATGTTTTGCGCCGCTTTCTCGAGTGCAAAGGTAACAACTTTGGAATTGATTGAGATATGGGGAAGAACGAAAATTCCTCTTAAATTAGAAAAAAACATTGTAAGGCAGGTAAAATAAATTCATTTGAAATGGGTAAATCTTAAGAAAGGCATTTCCAGGAAATCAGAAACAGAAGAAAGTAAGAGAAACGACTTTATCAATCAGTTGTCGAAGCTTTTCGATATAAGCCAATCAAAATAATGCTCTTCAATCAATGCAACAAGAAGAAGACAAAATGTTTACATGTTTTAAAAAGAAGGCAAAAGAGCCTCAATAAAAATGAAAGCTCTTCAGAAGGTTGAAAAGGAATATGAATTAGAAGGTATGAAGAAACATGATGAATGTAAGATTAAAATGATTGAAAATGAGCGTGATTCGAGAACTGATTCTAAAAGTATGGATTATTTAGAAAGTGAAGAGAGCATTGAGAATGGAATAGAGTATAGACCACCTAAAAATTACTGAAAAGCAATAAAAAAATTAAGCATAAGCAAAGAAGTGTGCATTGCCCTTGACCGCACAGGAGTTAGTGATCGAAGTGCATGTTTTATTTTAGCAAGCGATGATAAATTTTAAAGCAGATCATCGATTAGAAGAGATCGGTTAAAAGCACGTAATGATGTAACGGAAGATATTAAAAACTCTTTTAACCCTAATGTTGCTTTGACTATCCATTGGGACGGAAAATTATTGCCTGATTCCTCGAAACAAAAGGTAGACCCACTAGCAATATTGGTTTCAGGGGAAGGTCTTGAAAAACTTTTAGGGGTCCCAGGAATTTCTGCAGGAACAAGAGAGGCACAGGCTAGTGCGGTTTTTGAAGAAATACAAAAGTGGAATCTTACGGATAATGTAATATCTATGTGTTTTGACACTATTTCAAGCAACACTAGTCTGAAAGCTGGCGCATGTACCCTTCTAGAACAAAAATTTGAGAAGGAACTTTTTGCTCTTGCATGTAGACATCACATACTCAAACTAATTGTAAAAGTTGTATTTGATTTGTTGTTTGGACCATCAAGTAGACCAGATATTTTCCTCTTTAAAAGATTTTAAGCAGCCTGGAATTCTGTTGACCAAACGAAATATCAAAGTGCTATGATAGATGAAAAAATATCTGGTTTTCTTTTTCCAATTCGAGAAAATTTAATTGCATTTGTTAATAATCAATTGTTAACATTCCAACCACGAAACGACTATAGGGAGTTACTTCTACTTACTTTGGTATTTCTCAATTCACATACTGAAGAAAATGTCAAATTCTACACTCCTGGCGCTTATCATCGGGCTAGATGGATGCCTAAATTAATTTACTGCTTAAAAATATACATTTTTCGAAGTCAGTTTAAATTGTCTGGCAAAGAGTTACACAGTCTTTAACAATTTAACATTTTTGTTGTGAAGGTATATTTACAAAAATTGTATACTTCTCAATGTCCGATTTTGGCCCCACTAAATGACCTTCAACTTTTAAAAGAACTTATCGATTACAGTTCCGTGCATCCTAAAATTTCAGAAGTAACATACAAATGCTTTTCCGGACATTTGTGGTATTTGAGTGAAACATTAGTTGGTTTAAGTCTTTTCTCTTCTTGCATTGCTATTAAAGACAAAAAACTCATAGTACTAGCTCTGGAAAAGGATTCAAGTGAGAGGGTTTTAAAACGTGTTACAGTGAACAAAAACAATGCATTAAACAAAAAGTTATCCGATTTTGTAACTAATGAGAGCAAAAAATTTTTTGTGGCCAATAATATTCCACTCGATTTTATAAATGAAGATCCTACTACTTGGCAAGAAAACCAACGTTACAACCTATCTCGCGAAAGACTACAAAAATTAAAGGTTGTAAATGATTTGGCTGAAAGAGGTGTGGCTTTAATTTCCAAATTCAATTCCATTCTTACAAAGGACGAGAATAAAAAAAAATGTTTGTTACAAGTTGTTGAGGCACACAGAAAGCAATATCCTACATGCAATAAACTAAAAAAAGTATAAGGTAATGCAATTTCATTAAAATACTTGTACTATAACTTCCTTAAATATTATATCGAAATATTAAAATTAATTTTGGGAGTATTGAACAAATTGAAAGAAAATTATTTAACATGTTATTTAATATACCTTAAAAAATTAAAACTTTCCCATATTTCAATTTTTTCATCAGTTCTTTCAATTTCAAGGATATATCTCATATTTTTTCACTGATGAATCAACAGTAAACTGCAATTTTTTTGGATAAACAAACAAATATTTGAGATTGAAACATGCTTTTATAACTGAACTCCTGTTTAAAAAGATAACTTCTCAAAGCTGCGTTAACCCCATATATCAGTTTTTAATCGTCAATCATATACAGTCTTTTGTACCATAAAGTAAGCTATAATTTTTTACTAGGACGACTCATTTAACCGCACAATAACTATGTTAAAAATAAAGAAAACTTAAAAAAATAAGTATTTTTTATATAAAAGACTTGCTTTCATCACATTTGTAAACGAGATAAACTTAAACTGTCACTTTTGCTACCTAACCTGACATCGAAATATAATAATCTCCTATATTAACAAATAACAACTATTTAACAACAATTTTCTATTTTTTAAGTGGAAAATACTTAAGTTTTTTACAATGTCTAAGTGGAAATATTATTTTCGAAGTAAATTGTAGTGTTTTATTATAGGTGGTTGAATGTAGACACATATCCTTCAAACGTATTAACTAAAGGAGTACTTCAGTTTTATTTTGATACAAAAACCTGATCAAAATTTGTAAAATTTAATTAGTTCTTGGAGTTTATAAAAAACCTGGTTCAATGTAGCCTACTCTCCCCTATATACAAATTAATTTCTATAACACCTTGCGTCAAAAACTCGACTAAAGTGCCGTTTTTGACGCAGTGCACTAGTGCGAGAAAAGAAGGGTAATCGAAAATTCTCGCATAGTGTACCCCACCTTCCATGCTACTGAAGACCTGTTACCAACCTAACATAAATATTTTATAACTAACAATTCTTAAGAGATACTACTACGCATGCTTAACTCTGCGTGTTGTTGACAGCAAATGATGCATAACCTCAATTTTCCTCGGGATTTAAGTAATGGTGATTGAGATTGGGGGGCTTCGTCCCCCGAAGCGCTGTTCTGCTTGTACTAAAAGTACTAAAGTAACTAAAGTTTTTTCAACATTACTTCTGAGACAAATTGTTTACTTTTTGAATATCATTAAAAATTTATAATTTTGAGTTGGTTTTTATGTTATCCATGAACCCCCTGGTCGAGGCTTTACCCCTGGACCCACTCCGCGCGACCGAACAGCGGCGTACGTTTAATTGTATATCGATACACTAGCCTGTTTGTCTCGTTTTTGACTTCAGGTTTATAGAAAATAGTGTGTGTTACACGTGCACATCTAGGGGAATCTCGACTCGCTTTTGCAAATGACATTGCTAGCTGTAATAAAGGTAGAGATGAATGCATTAAGCTGTAGGAGGAAGAGGCAGCGTGCATTTAAAAATTGAAGAAGAGGTCAGCAAGATGCTGAAGTTCTATGAAGTCCAGAGAAATGTCAATATGACAATCAAAGATGGACTCAAAAGATTAGAATTGCGCATACAGGATGTCAAGGAGAAGCACGCAGCAGCGACCAAAAGAGACGAGAAATTCTACCAAGGTTTAACTTTGTTGGAAGAAGTTTCGAAGGTTTGAACAACAAACAATGATGAGCGTAAAAGTGACTGTAGGAACGCAAACGCCACAGTGATGTAGAAAGTTCGTGAAGAGGCAGACCTGGGGTCCTGTCAGACATGAGTTGTGGGTGCAAGACCAAGTATTAAGGGAGACCTCCTTATTAAAATTGGAGGGTCTTCAAATAAGGCATCGTTCACATAGGAGGTGACAAAGCTGATCAAAGACTTAGATAAGATGCAGAAGGCGGACCAGCAGACTATGTTGGGAATTCGCGATATGTATGTCCTTGCGGAACAGGATTCCTTAGAAAAAAATTTACCATACCAGCAGGAAGCAGAAAGGTCACAGTCCTTTGACTAAATAAGCGAGGAATAAAGCTTGTTATCGTGGTCACCAGCCAAGAAGATGCTGAAAAGCTAGAAAAAATTGGGCACGTTAAGATTTGTCTCATGTCCTATAAAGTTAGAAGAAGAGTTATTGGTGCAAGGTGGCATAGGTGCCTTGACTACGGTCATGTAAGTATCGAGATTGCAAAGCATTAAACAGGTCGAATGCGTGCTTCAAGTGCGAAAAAGCAGGTCACAAGATATCAGATTGTAAGAAGATGACCATGCTGCTTCTTATGGCAGAAGAAGTTCGATGGAAAAGAGAATATCCAACACGTTGCTGGATCAGGAAGATGAAAAGTCTTCAGAACTACTCTAGAGGAAGCAGAAAGCAAAGGAGGCTTTGTCAAGGACACGGAGAAGATAAGGCCAGAACAAGAGCGGCACGGAAGAGTCGCGTCAACGACTACATGGGAACGTTCATCTGCGAAGTGTGAAGCTGAAAGGTAGTTCCGTAGATGGATACTGGACCGACATCCAAGGGAATCGTGACTGCCTAAAGCAGGTATACAAGTTTTCTTCTTCCATTTTGTGGCGAGCCCGACATACCCAGCGAAATGGGAGTTTCCTGAGCATTAAGTTTTTAAAAAGTCGTTCATCATATTAAATCCACCATTTTGAATTTTGAAAAAGTAACATCAGATTAATAATCAGTGGTCTCAAAAGCCCTCGAGTATTAAGTTTTAAGCTAATTCAATGAATTTAAAATAATTTGTTCTATAATATTGAATCCGACATTTTGAATTTTGAAAAACTAACTTCGAATTCAAAATCAGTGTCCCTAAAAATCTCTTAGATCATGTTTGGTTTCTAAAAATTTTCTCCTCCCTTTCCGGTGGCGCTAAAGGGTTAAAAGCAAATGCTCTTCAATGAAGAGTATTATTTTTTATTCAAGTATAAAATATGTAAAGGATTCTTTAAGAGAAATTTTCCTCTCAAATTATGAATATTTTCTTTCAGCGCTTATTTATCACATGTAAGGAGAATTAATTCTCGATATTGGATTTGAATAATGCAAACATTACCGCTTAGTTTTGTATTCACATCAAGTAGTCGCTCTAAGGAGTAATATAGAGTAATTTGGTTTCATTATGCTTGAATTTTTAAATAATCGATGCCAATAACAAGGTGAACTTAATTATTTCTCCTAATGTCTTAATAACAATAAATTCTGAATGTCTTTTAAAAAAACGGTTAGAACTTTCAGTGCATTTGAAATCCCTAAAATAATTAAATTATTAAAACATTAATATACAGTTTCTCTTAATGTATTTTTTAAAAACTTTTTTACTTTACATTTTTTCAAAATGGGAAAACTTTCGAAATCCAGTTTAAAGCTCTATTTTTACTAGGAAAATTATAAAAATGAGTGTAGTATTTTAAAACTAAAATTTTGTAATAAATCACCACATAATAAAACTTAAATGCCTATCTTATAGTAGGTACAATATTTATATTCTTATGTGATTTTTATATAACTTTTAGAACCGGGAAGTTATGAAAAAAGTTATACTTTACATTGAAAAAGTGATAATAATTTTATAAATATATAAAGATTCTATAAAAATGATATTCAAATATGTAATAAATAAAATTTAATTGAATTTCTTATCTACAAAAGGGAATGACTCAATTAACATAGAGGGTGTGTTATAGTATAGATATAGTTAACTACCCCTAGACACCTATGTACTTAACGTAACCCATGTAAGCTCACGCTAGAACAAATTCTCGGCACCATCTACTTCGAGTCCCTTCTCACTCCCTAATTCTCTCTCAGCGCCGATGTTATGAAGTTGTGTTGAACTTTTCGGAGTCATAGTTTGCGAAACCCTCCTTCCTCTTTTCTTTTTTCCCAAATTACAAAAACTTACTTTAATATGTGACATCAATTACATACAAAACAATTTATTTTAAATTGTTCTTAAACTCTCCTAAAGAAAGGAAGGAATTTTATTTCTTACGATAATGTTTTGTTATAGTATTTTTAATGTTGTATAAATATTTTTTTAAATATAGTATATATAAATTATCTTTCAACAATTAAAGATAAACAAACATGTTAGGGTAGCAATACAGAGGTAAATAGTATTTAGAATACTAGTGTGATTGAAGATCAGTGCGAATTAGGATGAAAAAAAAGAAAATATTCCGTATAAATGAGATTTTCAGTTGAGTAGTCGGCATCGACAGAAAGAAAACTCCATTCCGTTACCGCAGTAAATTCTAAATTTTTATAAGTAAATGATAAATATTATTATAAATTTATAAATTATTCCTTTATTTAAATAAAATATAGCAAATACTATTGATTGTTTGTTAATAAAATTTTATTTTTTTACATTAGAATCAATATATTTCGGAGCTATCGAAATTAACAAAACTCCATTCCGTTACCGCTAGTGGCTTTTCTTTTTTTTTGATAAGTAAATGAAAATTTTTATTAATAATTCTTTGAATAATTTTTTATTTTTATAAAACTTAACGACATTTAACGTTTTAATTCAAAGTTTAGAAAATTTTTTAATATATAAGAAATCAATTTAAGTGTCGTCCAAGAGAGCAAAAACTCCATTCCGTAACCGACAGTACTTTTTTCGTTTTTTGCTAAATAAATGATAAATAAATTTAAAACTCATTTCTCGGGGGTTTTTGGAGCCACTGATTACGAAGTTAATGTTAGTTTTTTAAAATTCAAAATGGCGGATCCAAAATGGCGGACGAAATATTTTAGAATATTTAGTGAAATAGCTTAAATCTCGTTACTCGGGGGTTTTTGGGGTCGCTGATTACGAAGTTAATGTTAGTTTTTTTAAATTCAAAATGGCGGATCCAAAATGGCGGACGAAATATTTTAGAATTTAGTGAAATAGCTTAAATTTCGTTACTCGGGGGTTTTTGGGGTCGCTGATTACGAATTCAATGTTAGTTTTTTAAAATTAAAAATGGCGGACGAAATATTTTAGAATTTAGTAAAATGGCTTAAATTTTGTTACTCGGGGATTTTTGGGGTCGCTGATTACGAATTTAATGTTAGTTTTTTAAAATTAAAAATGGCGGACGAAATATTTTAGAATTTAGTAAAATGGCTTAAATTTCGTTACTCGGGGATTTTTGGGGTCGCTGATTACGAATTTAATGTTAGTTTTTTAAAATTCAAAGTGTCGGACGAAATATTGAAAAATTAATTGGATTAGCTTCAAAATAAATTCTAAATAAAATTCGCTATCTTCACCCTCGAAAACCTCCAACAAATTTCAAAGAAATAAAATTAATTTTTTAAAATTTGACCGCCATATAGGATCCGCCATTTATAATTTTTGAATTATGACCGCAAATTCGTAATCAGCGACCTCAAAAAACCCCGAGTAACATGTTTTAAGAGAATCCAATTAATTGTCAAATATTTTATTTGACATATTGTATCCGCCATTTTGAATTCTAAAAAAAATAACATCAGATTTGTAATCAGCGACCCCAAAATCCCCTAGACAACAAATTTGAGAAGAATCCAATCAATTTTTACAAATTTGACCGCCATATTGGATTCGCCATTTTGAATTTATGAATTTTGACCTTAGAATCGTAATCAGCGACCTCCAAAAGCCTAGAGTAACCATTTTCAAATTTTCAAGCCAATTCACTCATTGTATTTGCGACAAAAAATGAAACAATTATTTTACAATAAACAATTATTTTTTAAACAATAATGTTTATAAAGATCGTAACCACATATTTTAGAGACTTACTATAGTCCTCCTCTTCACATAGGAATAGGGGAGACTGGGGTAAACCCGCTCACGTTTTTTCAGATCGGCTAAAATCTAGGAAATTATTCTCTAAATCCAAGTTAATTTATATCATTTGAAAGCTTATGATTTCTACTAAAAAAATAAAAGAGAGTTTTTGATTTATCTTTTTTAGTTTTACTTAGAGAAACTTTTTAATAAACATATACCAAATTTCAAAATCACAATTTTCCAGGGTAAACCCGCTCACTTTATCTTTTCAAGACGGAACAGTTTTATTTTTTAAATATTAAAGTTCGTCTTATTCCCGTCTTAAGTATGATTTATTATTGATAATTTATGAGTTATATAAACAATTCTATAAACAACAAATTGGTTTAATAAATATTGAACATAGATTTCATGAATTACAACTATAAATTTAAATAGTGTTATATTTTATTAAGAGAAAGTGAAATGTAGTTACAATTTTGGTTTTAATAAGGCATAAATAGTGTTATTGTTAAAATATAATACGTGAAATTATTTTATTCTAAAATTAAAACTAAGTGAGCGGCTTTACCCCGACTTCACGTGAGCGACTTTACCCCGAGTGTATTCCTCAAATTTTAGAATAAATTTAATTAAATCTTTTTAAAATAAGACAAAACTATATATGTACTTCGAAGAAGGACATCCAATGGCAACAAAAAAAATTTACCAGATAAATTAATACTCAAAAATAATGATCGAAAAACTTAAAAATCCAAAATACGTTTTTTTTCTGACACCTCTAAAAACATTTGATTGTCTCTGATTCTATGTTGAATTCATGAAACTAAACGAAAGTTCGTTAATATAAGTTGAATGTTAAGTACTATTCACAGTACCAATATTTCCATCTTAAGTTGAGTTCATAGCGTCAAATCGCTAGTGAGCGGGTTTACCCCAGTCTCCCCTAGTCATTTTAATTTTTTTGAAACTTTTTTTTTTTAATTACAATTTAGAATTTGTTCTTTTTAAGAGATTCACCCTTAGACGTTAATTTAGTTTCGAGTCGGCACGAAACTAAAATCACTTTGTTTGTTTAGTTTCGTGTCGACTCGAAACTAAAGTCGCTTTGTTAATTTAGTTTCGTGTCAACTCAGAAACTAAAACGAAACTAAACTTTCAACACACTAAAAAAAGTTTTACTTTTAGCCCGTTTTCGAGGCTGAATTTAAGGTGTAAACGGAGTCAGCCCCATTAAACAAGGACATACTTATGTGAAATACATGGGCTGAATTTAAGGTGTAAACGGAGTCAGACTTTTTTTTCCTGTGAAGACGGTCCCTGTTTTTGAGTCTTAATTTATTTGGCAAATTTTTTTTATTGCTTTTGGATGTCCTTTTTCAAAGTACATATATATATATAGTTTTGTCTTATTTCAAAAATATTTAATTAAATTTATTCTGGAATGTGAGGAATACACTCGGGGTAAAGTCGCTCATGCTCACGCTCAAGCAACTTAAATTTTGCGACGCATCAAAAGTGCTATTTTGATAGTCATTTTATTTTATTATTTAAATATTTGGTTTTTATTACTTTTCGTCAAATATGGTTTCGTTGCAAACTTTGACACTCTAACTTACGATTTTCATAAAGAAACTAAGAAAGTGTAAAAATGTCAATTTTTATAGAAAAAAGGTCTGCCAAAAATTGCA